GGAGAAGCAGGCTTCCCGCCGAGCAGGGAGCCCGATGCGGGGATCGATCCCAGGACCCTGGGATCATGACCTGAGCTGAAGGCAGACACTTAACGACTGAGCCACCCAGGCGCCCCTAAGCACTGCTTCTAAACCAATCCCGCAAAGGAAGCGATTCGCAGATTGAAGAACAGACTAACAACAACAAAAAAGGCAAAGACCTAATGTAACAACTTAAAAACTAGTTAATATCATTTTTAAAAACATTTTCAGGATGAGAGAGAGAGAGAAGAGACAGAGAATATGTGGCAAAATTGAGTAATCTAAGTAAAAGATATTTGGGTGTTTTTTGACCGTTCCTATAACTTTTCCTCAAAATAAAAAGTTCTACAGAGGCATGCTCATATGGCTTTGAGGAAAAAATATATAAATCTATTCTGAACTATATATATTTAATGCTGCACTGAACCTGATCCAACAACTTAAGTTACATGTTTTCAGAACACTCACCCATTGAATGGAAGCCTTGCCTGGGTCTGGATACCAGCTGTCCCAGTTAAGTTAGAGTTGCTTGCTATAGACACATATGAAGATTGCTGTAGCTACACATAAAGAAAGGTAATTTTAGGCCATATTTACAAAAACGCACAATACTCTCAGATGTTATAATCAGTAAGAAACAAATTCATCTACTAAAATAGGAAAAATAGTATGGAGAATTTCATACAGACACAGTACTTCATGGAGCTCTTCTAAAGCCCAAACTAATACTAGAGGTGAAAACAATGTGAACATTTTAAAGTACTACATGGTACAAATACAAGAAATTTTTCACAGAGGAATAAGCCTATGAAGATCAGGAAATTCTAGCTGCATGCTCCAAAAGTACAAGTATTAACTTGTATTGGCTAGAACAATGCAATGTGTCTACTTGTAAATAAAATAGGTACTATGCTGATCATTCATCACAATACAAGTTATAGAGAACGACAATTACATGGGCAATCATTTTCTATTTTACATTGATTTCTACACACAAAAAGAGACGCTGATGATAAGAATACTGAACACTCATTTTCTAATCAGTAGCCACATTAAACATACTCCACAGTCCATTTCATTAGAGTACCCAGGTTTCTGTTTCTCTCTTTCAGAATCTGAGGAGATCAATTCAACAGTTTAGAACATGGTGCTAATCTGCTGGATTCTTACACGAAAAAAAACCCTTCTATCTCCTTCCTAGAAGCAGCACTCCTAACCCTCGCCAGCCAGTTGGATGATAGGCGGCTTTGACCCTAAAGAGGACCAGATGAGAGACGGGTCACTGAAGATGGGTCACCTAGAAATGCATCTCACAGTCTCCTTTCCAGGAGCAAGCCCGTGGCATCCTCCTATGTGAGGAAGAGCCAGATCATAGTCACAGCGCTCTCTACATGCACTTGGACTCTGCCGACTTTAGCTTCAACTTCTCCCCTCTTCTATTTACATAGTCTTGTCCTCTCACCAAACTGCTCTCAGTTCCCAAGTGTCTGACTCGTATACGTGACTTGTGCTGGTATTTCGAAATGCTAGAGATACTTAAAAATAAATTCAGAAGTTTTCGTTAGCATCTTAAGATTTTTGGAAACAGCCATTTTAATACTGAGTAAGACGTTTTCCAGTAGTTTCAGAATGTGACAGGGCTGTCCATCTCTGACCGAACTATCCTTTTTGCAGTGCAAGGACTCAGGCTCGTCCTCCTACCTGGGTAACGTACTGCGCGGGAAGCACCGCGTAGCCCACATTCCCTGCCCCCGGAGCCGGGGCCAGCACCGTGCCTGGCGGCAGGTTAGTGAGGTTGGGCTGGATCTGCGGCAGTGGGGTGGCCGGCATGATGAGCCGCTGCTGTGGCTGGCTGGTGGTAACTATCTGTGAAGTGGGATTGATGGGTTTGGGAACAACCTTAAAAAAAAAAAAAAAAGAACACATATCCACGGTTACAGAAATACATTCTACAGCTTCTCCATTCAGGATGAATCTCTTGGACGTGAGTCTTAACTTTCAATTTGAAAAGTGAACTGTCTGTTTGGGAGAGACTGAAGAAAGTTCCGTGACACTCACCTGCTTGACAGTCTGCGCCGAGACGAGTGGAACTGACATTCGCACAGGAGTGGTATTAACAACCACCGGCTTTGCTTTTTAGAAAAGGGGAGGAAAGGACAATTTATTTACAGGAAATGGTGCTTGAAACATTGAAGATACTCAGTTCTCTCAAGATATCCCCATAAAAGAGCTTAAAGAATCCCACTGGTTTCCTATCTGGGGCAATCTTTAATCAGGAGAGTTCCCTTTTTAAATTCCTTAACCTGTCTACCAGGGAACTCAGAGCTAAGGTAGCACCTATAGTCTGTCCGCTTGACAAGGGAACGTTTGTCATTTAAGGCAGTCTACTGAAAGTACTTCAATCTGTATTCAGATGACTTAAACATTCCCTACTAAACCTAGTGTTGAAATGTCCTTTAAATAAAAAAACTGCCATTCAGGAGCTTGAGTAACAATGCTGTTCTAGACTCTTTCCAACTGCCACGTTTGTATCGAAACCAGAGAAAATGTCATTCCTGTATAATTCATTATTTACAGAGTACCTACTAAAAGGCAGCATAGCATGAAGGTTAAGAATATGGTCTCTTAAGTCATAACACCCTGGAGGCTCAAATTCCAATTCTGTTGCTTTCTAACTCTCTTTGCCTGTATCCCCATCTATAACTTGGGAATAGTACCTCCCTCACAGGGTATAAGGATTAAATATGTGAATCCATGGAAATTTATTAGAACGGTGTCCAACAAATAGTAAGTGCTCAATAAATGTTAGTTGCCATTAATGTCACTGTTGTTATGACAACCATTATTACTATATAAATGGCATTGTGGACTGTGTTCCAGGGAAACTAAACTATAGTTTACACTCAAAGAGCTTACACTCAAGTAGAGCAGATTAGACATGTACCAAATAAAATAAACACGCCTAAAAAAGAGAAAGTGCTGCGGAGTCCAAGGGAGACAGAACGTTACGTCTGCTGGCAGAGGATGGGAATATGAAAGAATGCGTGGAAGGTATAGTGTCTGAGATGGGTCCTGATCGATGGTCAGGTTGCGAAGAGGGCACACAGACCGGAGCAGGACATTCCATGCAGAGGCAGGAGCATGAGAAGTGGAGGCTTGATGCTGGAAAGCAGCAAAGCATTTCACAAAATGTTGGTGAACAGACCAGTCTGGTTGGAACCTAGGGTTAAAGTAGGCAAGCCCAAGTCTTGAATGTCAGGGTTGAAATCTATATATTTAATCTGTATTTTTTTAATTCAGTAGGCAATGAGAAGTTTCTGAGGATTTCGAAGTACAGAAATATGACTGGAATAGCACAAGAAAAACCCAATTTGGTAGCAGTGTGCAAACCAGAAAGGAGTTGCACGAAACAAGGCAAGTTAGAGGAGTGTACACACTGAGGGTCTACCTGGGGTGACAGCGCTGGGGACGGACAGGAGAGAGCAGTTGCAAGAGATACGGTGGAGGTGAAAGGAACATGAACTATCACCCAAGTAGATGGCAGAAACTGCACATATGAGGGAAGAAAACATAAGCCATCGTGAAGCTTTCAAGTGACCGGGAAAATGACAGCTACCAGAACTAACACCTCCAGGAATAGCTGATTTGAAGGGAAGATGAAACCCGACATAGAGAAAAGCTACGAAGAAATTCAGGAGAGAGGCTGGCACCAGACCTGCATGTTTGGACCAAAAGAAGTAAAGTTTTTAATGCTGTCTACTGCCATTTCCACAGTCCAAAAAAGGGACTTAAAAAGACAGGAAGGATGGCCCTTCCAGTTTTATTTATGCAAAAAGACCCAGAGCCAGGTCTGAAAGAGAGGGGCTGAGATAATGGGATCTAAACTGCTCTGAACAATAAAAAGAACAGACTTCCTTAGATAAAAAAGCTTGGGAGGGTTGATGGCTAAAGAGAGAAAGCTGAGAGTGCTGGAAGAACCCCAGACAGTACTCTGACCTAAAAGGGAGTGAGCTCCTGCAGCAAGGGGACAGGGGGAAAGGGGAGAGGGGGAGCACTCCAGAAAGTGTTTTAGTGGTGATGACTGCATCTCTCTTGATACACTAAAAACCACTCAACTGTATGCTTAACAAGGGTAAATTTTATAGTAGACACGAATTATATCTCAATAAAGTTGTTACACAAAAAGCATAGGACCAGAATTACAGGAGTGGTGACATCTGATACTGGATTTAAAATTATTTTCTGCTCTGATTCTCTTCGGCTACTTTAGCTTTAGTTAAGTTATGATAACCACCGTACACTGGTCTCAGCGATACTAAAAAGAATTAAAAGGTGAATGAAAAGGCATTAAAAGCCTGAATTCCTGCTTGGAACTTGGAGAACAGACCCCCTACACCACATGCTTCTTGGAGAGGGGATGCTGGTCATCCTTCCGTGAGCACACTGAGCAGCAATTTTGACAACCAGAGAAGGTAAGAACTTCCTGGTGGTTTCTGCAACAATGGGAAGGAGTGTGTGGCCTGCCCTCAGTCACATCAAATGACAAATGCAGATGATTTTATTTGGATAATAAAGAAAAGGTAACTGTCTCCATGCATGTGGGCATACGCAGGTACGCGCACTCACACAAAGGCACACAGCTAGAAAATTTGGGAATTCTAGGTTTACATTAGCTTGGCATCTGCATGCTGAGTTTTCACTAAAACCCGGTTAATAAAGAAAATATAAAATGAAGCGGTCAGAAAAGAGAATGCTACAAGTTACCTATGGAAAGGGGGACATATTGGTGTTACATAACCAGTATGTTACATCAACGGTCTGTATTTCTCTCCCTCCTCAACTTTTGAGCACAGTCCCACATTACTATTACTGCCATTTTCACAGAAGCTGGGATAATCTTTTCTTTAGTCTTGAACAGAAATTCTGAACAATCCTCTTTTTTTTTTTTAAAGATTTTATTTATTTATTTGACACAGAGAGAGACAGCGAGAGCAGGAACACAAGCAGGGGGAGTGGGAGAGGGAGAAGCAGGCTTCCCGCGGAGCAGGGAGCCCGATGCGGGACTCGATCCCAGGACCCTGGGATCATGACCTGAGCTGAAGGCAGACGCTTAACGACTGAGCCACCCAGGCGCCCCTGAACAATCCTCTTAGAACAGACAGCCTCCTTCCAAATTTTAGAAACCATACACCCAAGTGTTTAAGGCTTTTTAATTTCTTAAACTGACTTCCTTACCAAGATGGTAGGAGATTACATTCTAAAGAGATTAATCATGAACTCTTCTGGATCTTTCTACTGTGCTGCCTGCTATCCAGCCAGCAGTGACCATGGTGGAGCCTTTGAATACTGGTTTTGTATGGCTTTGGTGGGAAATGTATAACATGAGCCCAACTCCCTTTGGCATAAGGAAATCCCTTATTGGAAAGCAAGCCCTTAGAAAGACATATTAATACATTCGATGAACTAGAGCAACTATTTTCGTGTATCTCTAATAAAAATTATAAATTCATTATTCCTGTGAAATGATATATATTGTGTATACCTAGGTCTCTTATGGGACAGGAGAGCAGACAGAGAAAACTACGGGTGGGCATAAGGACAATCGCATAGGTGGTTCTGTACATGAGTGGGTGGGAAGAGGGTAGATACGGGGAGAACTGAAGGAGCCGGAGAGATAGAGGCGAGGACAGAAAGGGAAAACTGAAGGCGGAAAGCAAAGAAGAAGCAGGGCAAAAGAAGGAGGTGTGTGTGAGGGATTTCCAGGAGGCAAAGAGCATACAGTGGTAGAGAGAGGCAGAAAGACATATAAACTTGGAAAAGAAGGTATCAATAAATACACTGGAATTATGAACTGTCCCACCTATTCCTCCACTCTCCCTGGGTCTTCAGCATCTTTTCTACTTATTCCAAAGGCTTATTATTGACAAGGAAATTAGCATTAACATTACACTGGAAATGGATCTCAGTATATGGAACACAGACAAACACACACACATAAAGCATAGCCCATTGTACTTAATGGGTGCTTGACATCATTATGACCATCTGAGTAAACCGCGCTTGCAGCACCTCTTTTAGTGGCCTGCTAAGTTTAAGTACTGAGAGGATATAAAACTTGGCTCCCTTAGCAATACGCGAGTTTCCTTTTCCTTCTATTAAGAACACCGTAATAAAAGATTTTCTTCTAAAATCCGTTTAAAGAGGGATTAGAAAATATAATTACCTGACGGGTCTAATTTTAATAGAATACATACTAAAGTACTGTTTCCCTCACGTAGCCTCTAGTTTCTCCCACCAGTAATTTAAAAAATAAATAGGTAGGTTTTCTCTTCCACAGTTTCCCTCAGGTGAACTAGCTATCAGCAACAGATAGCTCCAACCCACTGATCCCTTAATAAAAATGAAAGTGCAAACAGGTGGTCTTTAATTCTTCTATTTACATCCAGTAAATAATAAATCATTTACTCGCCGTCAATTGCTTTTTGACATCGATGGGATATGCAGCAGTCTTCTAAGACAAAAAAATTCGGCCCTAAACTGTGAACTGTCCTGATCCTTTCACACCATTCAACTTCTAACAAGTGGACAAGCGTGGAGAGTGGCTGTGTGTGTGTCTGTGTACATGTATCAGGCGATGGGAAGGGTTAAACACAAACAGAAAACGGAAGGATTACAAACAGGAATACCCTCCAGGAAAAGTACAACTAAGCAAAATAACAAAATATTTTAATAGCTTTTTATTAGCAATTACAGATTCAAAATAAGTAAAGGATGAAGGTAGTACCAAGTTCTTATGCCTTGCCTACTAGTCATTTCAACTGATCCAAACCCTACCAAGCAGCTTCACCCAGTTTAGAAAATAAGGTAATCTGGTTTCATCTCAATCTGTCCCACTAGCATAAATGATAGGCTTATAAACCAGCAATACAATGGCTAACCCCAAACTGACGAAGAACTCTGGTGGTCTGGTGGTAGAGTACACTGTGCACCAGCTCCCAGCAGAGTGAAAGACTGTATTTACACACAACTATGATTCTATTTTGCGGTCTTCCGCAACAGTTGCTGATTCACACTCTCAGCTGAAATGCCACACTTAATCAGGATTTCAGCAAGAAAAGGACCAGTGTTCTTTAATAATGTTCAAAGAATTCATTACTGTTTTTAAAAAATGGTTACTAACCTTGCTGGAGAGGTTGAGTGTTTGTACTGGGATTCTGACTAACTGGCTGGCTTGGGCTACTGGCTGATGTGGCAGTGACAAGCCGGACATAATGAAACTTGCTTCCAGGCACTTGAATCTGCTGGACATTGGGAGCAGTTGCCAGAGGAATAATTGTCTTAAACTGTGATGTGCTCACGCCTCCAACAGTGATGGTCTGCACAGCTGATTTCACTGCCTAGTAAACAATACAACACGGCTATCGTTAATCTGGGATTTAACTTTCCTACCCTTTTAACTTCTGACAAGTGCTCAAGTAAAAAAGTATGTTCCTGTATTTCATCAAAAGCTGTTGCAAGGAACAACCTGTTCAAAGAGAAATGAAAAGAATAGTAATGAATATAGGAGTGAAACCAAAATTAATGAGTTCTCCCTTCCATCTCTAGTAGTTACTTCCTTGAGAATCCAGGTCGGATGACTTGCTATGAAGAAATTATTATTTAAGTCACAAGAACTGACTCAGTTTTGTTAATATTTATGAAAAAAAGAATTCTTTTAAAACTCCCAGAATTAAGCCTCATATTCAACACAGAGAAGACGATGCAGATAACTTGGCTTTATTGCTACCCACCAAATTAACTAGGACAAATTTCATTTTTATGTGTTCTAAAAAAGAAAGAGACCCAAAAGCAAAAGCCCATCTTATACTCTCATTAAGTCTAGTCGATTCAGTTGTATCCGCAGATACAAATGTACCCATTAACGTACGGGTTTAATTAAGGCGCCAAATTCGGTCCAAAATTACCCCAATTTTGGTTGTCTAGGGAAACTAATTTTGGGAGATTCAAATTTGAGTCAATATAATCATTTTAATAATTTTTAATACTTTCCTTTATTCCGACAAACAGCAATGTGACTTCCCAAAAAGCTAAATGAAACATCAGAGGCAGAACTGAAGTCTTTCAAGATGTCTTCAGTTGATGTTTAACCAATACACAGCAGATTCTTCTCCAAAGCAAAGGTCCAAACCAGATTCTCAACCAGTTCAACAGTATTATTTTGTAAAAGAATTACATCCCCACCTATTCTTCAAAGAGCCCTCATGCTAAAAGACAACTGACATGATGGAAGAAATCTATATTATGTGCATAATAGTTTATGAAAGAATAATTCTTAAGAATTTGAACACTGTCAAAAAAGCTCAGAAAAAAAGAGAGAAAAGAATGTCATTTAGTGTGGAAACTCTACAGGCAATAGTCAAAGGAGATTACTTCAGCATAAAATGATTCACATACTGTCACCGGGGAGAGGCACCACAAAGCAGATTTAAAACAAAGAGAAAACAGCCACAACAGTCATGGGTTAAATGAAAATATAAAACTTAAGAAAAGGGATAAAATGTTTACATATGGAAGCTATTGAAAAATCAAGCAAGCATGAGACAAATATATACAGTGATGCAAGAGACACAGCCCTTTCTATCTCAGCTCAAAACGGAAAAAAATACCATCCTAAACAAGGTGCCTCAAGCACAGTAAATTTATCGGGTACTTAATATGTATGAGGGACAGTGCTTAAATGATCTGATTTAAATCTAGCAGCCACATTATGAGCCAGGTATAGCATGGGACAAGTACAGGGGCTGGCTTAGTTAAGTTTGCAGAGCATACTTAACTTTTTTTCCATCTCTTTACTTTCAACTTTTCTGCATCCTAAGCTTCAAGCTACAGCTCTTATGAGATGTATATAATTGGGTCTTTAAAACAAAAATAAGATCTCACTGTATTTTTAAATCAGTATGTGTCTGTTTACATCTAACATAGTTATCTAAAGATCTGGATTTAAATCCACCATTGTACCTGTTTCCTATTTGAACCACCTGTCCTCTTCTGTTCCTTTTTTCTCTCCTTTCTTACCTTCTTTTGGGTTAAAAATTTTTTCATTTCATTCCCCCTTCCGGTATTAGCTTTTTATTTATACATTATGTTACCCTGGAGATAACGATGTACAATGCAAGAATTAAATTAGTACTTTACATATCACCCAGGAAATGAAAGAACCCTAGAACACTAACACCATTTACTCTTGCCCCATCTTTGTGCTATTGTTAAGTATTCTAATTCTACATATAATTTTACCTCCAGAAAACCTTCATTTACATACACCCACAAATTTACCCTTTCTGTCCTTTCTGTATCTTCCTGCTTCAAAGCACTGATGATTTAGGATCATTTTCCTTCTGCGTGAAGAACTCACTTGAGGATTTCCTTAAGTGTGGGTCTGCTGATGAGGAATTCTCTCCATTATGTGTCTCAAAAAATGTCCAGTTCTTTATCTGTATCTACTTTGTTGAAAAACTCATCTATTAAATTCTTAATCTCCGTTTTAAGTTTGCAGTTTGAAAATATTCATCTGATTTTTTTTTTTTCAATTGAAGCATACTTGATACACAATGTTACACTAGTTTCCGGTTCATTGAATTCCTTCTTTAAGTTTCTAACTCTCTGCTGAAATTCTTCATCTTGTTAAATAAATTTCTGTATTAATCTTAGTTATTTTAGAAGTCTGATAACTCCATTACCTATATTTCTTGGTTTTGAATAATTTGGTCTGGTTGCCTCATGTACCTGATGATTTCTGACTAAATGCCAGACATTGTTTATGAAAAATTAAGCATAATTTGAGGCTCTGAATGATGTTATTTTCCTCCAGAGAAAATTCACTTTGGCTTCTGGCAGGCAGTTAAAAAAGTAGGGGCAGATTATCCTAAACCAATCACAAACTGAGCTGATTTGAAGCGGAGCTTCAATCTTCCAGAGGCCTTATCTATTTCTGGTTCACTCTTCTCCTATATAGTGGCCCCAACTAGGAATCGGGTGTTTATAGACTTCCTTTGGGCCTGAATCCAAATTTTTGTTCATGAGATTTATAAGACAGATCCAGTCAGCTCCTTAACTTTTCTGTAGCCACTTTCTGCTCATCATCTCAGTCTTTCAGCTACAACTTACAAATCAGCAAATGCCCTAAAAAGAAGTGTCACAATGAACATGAAGCTGACTTCTCTAGGCTTCCCTTTACTTCATGAATGTGGCCTCTGGTGTCCTAGCTCCCTTACTAGGTCTCCAACGACTTCAAACAGATTTTTAAAATATATTTTTTTCTGTTTTTTAGTTGTTCTTGGTAAGACAGTTGGTCTGCAACAAGCTGGTTCTGCACAATCAAAAACAGAAAATACCAACTGCCAGGGTTTTAATCTAGGCTACAACATTCCTTGTTGTGTGACCTTGTGCAAGTGACTAAACTTCTCTGTGCCTAAGTTTTCTCAACTGAAAATGTGAAAATAATACCTTTCTTAAAAGGGCTATTATTAAGGATTAAATGAGTTAAATTATATGAAGTACAAATAATAACTTATCACATATTATAATGCTCAATAAATGTGAGCTGCTGTTTGTATCATCATTATGCCCATTATAGATGGGAGAAACTGAAGCTCAGAGAGATTAAGAAACTTGCCCAAGGTCACAAAGCTGAAAAGTAGCAGAGCCAGGATTTGAACCAGACCCAACTCCAAAGCCCATTCTTTTAAGTAGGACATCATAATGCCTCCAGCTGTAGATGCTTAATGAATAGTTATTAAGTGACTAAATAAAAGAAAATAGTATCCAGTCCTCAAGAGCTCTAGTAAGAACTAAAGTTGCACATTTGCCTCTAAGAAACATTGAAAGTATTTTTTTAAATCAGTATGCTGAATAGAAGTATAAACATATTATTTAAATGTTTTTATTTTAAAACAATTTTAGACTCACAAGAAGTTACAAAACTAAGAGAGTTCCCATGTACACTTCCCCAATAGAATAACATCTTACAGAACCACAGAATATTATTAAAACCAGGAAATTGGTACAATACTATTAACCCAACTACAAAACAGAACTTATTCAGATTTCCCCAGTTTTTATATGCATTTTGGGGGGATGTATACTAAAGTCTGTATAGATTCATGTCATCAAATTACCATCAAGATACAAAATTGTTCCATCACCACAAAGAAACTCTCTTGCACTGCCCTTTATATGCACACCCTCCCCCACCAACACCAACTCTTGACAACCACTTACTAAACTGCATTTTCCCAACACCTGAAATACTAGGTAACATATAACAGTTACTATTTTTGCAAAAGAAAGAGGCATTAGAATACACTTAATTTCCTTGAGAATTCACAAGTTGGTCCCTTCCTAGAAGTACAACAGTCTGAGAAACTCCATATGAATGCCTCTCTGAATATACCACATTACCAGAAAAACAGTTAATACGAATCCAATAAAAATCTTCAGGTATCTCTTGGGGCACCTGGGTGGCTCAGTCAGTTAAGCATCCGACTCTTGATTTTGGCTCAGGTCATGATCTCAGGGTTGGATGATCATGTGGGACTCCACGCTGGGCGTGGAGCCTGCTTAGGATTCTCTCTCTCCCTCTCCCTCTGTCCCACCCCCCGCACCTCCCCCCATTGCACGTGCTCTCTCTCTCAAAAAAAAAATATAAATTTTTCTTAATTAAAAAAAAAATCTTCAGGTATCTCTATTTCCTGATTAACATCCTTGACAGCTGGTTTAAAATGCAACTATATTAATTTAAATTCAAAATAGCAACATTTAACATGCATTAAGGGCTTCCCTCAAATACCTGGACTTGAAAGATTCTATTTATACTATTTCCTAAGCTATTTCTTTCTTTCTTTCTTTTTTTTTTTTTTGGTAAAGATTTTATTTACTTATTTGAGAGAGAGAGAGAGAGTGAGAAAGAACACGAGAGAGGGGAGGGTCAGAGGAAGAAGCAGGGAGCCTGATGTATGGCATGTCCTGGGACTTCAGGATCATGACCTGAGCTGAAGGCAGACACTTAAAACGACTGAGCCACCCAGGCACCCCTTTCTAAGCTATTTCTATTTACAGATTAATACCATAATTATGTGTTTAAAATAAATTTCTTTGAACATTATTTTCCAATTAGCAAATGGCAAAAGTTCTTGCTTAACTGAAGTTTACCTAAAAGGAAAGAAATGAAACACTCTTCTAGTTCTGCAAATGAGGATTCTTATTCTATTTGGTGAAGTTGGAGGGAGAGAGGGAGGGATGGAGGGGGAGAGAGAGGGAGAGAGAGAGAAAAGCCTCAACCAATATCCAAAAACAGTAAGTTTGTAGGGTTCCATATTTGGTTCTGTTTGTAAATACTGCTTAGAAATCATTGTTTGGACAATATGGGCTTTGGTTCTAGTTAAGTCTCAATCATGTGTGTATTTTGGCAAGCAACCTAATGCTTCTTTATATCTTTGTTTCTCTATTGTACAAGGGAGAACATTA